TCCCCCGGGGACTCCAACCCAGATCCCTCTGGTCCTCGTTCCCCCGGAACTCCAACCCAGAACCCTCTGGTCCTGGTTCCCCTGGGGACTCCAACCCAGATCCCTCTGGTCCTGGTTCCCCCGGGACTAGAACCCAGAACCCTCTGGTCCTGGTTCCTCTGGGACTCCAACCCAGAACCCTCTAGCAGAAAGGTCCAGGTTCCCCCGGGGACTCCAACCCAGAACCCTCTGGTCCTGGTTCCCCCGGGACTCCGACCCAGAACCCTCTGGTCCTGGTTTCCCCGGGGACTCCAACCCAGAACCCTCTGGTCCCGGTTCCCCCGGGGACTCCAATCCAGAACCCTCTGGCCACAGAACGGTCCTGGTGGTGTGGTTCTGAGCACCACACCACCATCCCGCCTCATTGATAAACACGGGGAAGAAATCCATCTCCTGGGCAGCGAGTGGGGTTAGCCTTATCGGAAATAATGGCGCCCGTCAGGGAGGTTATCAGACACATCACAACCGGAAAGCAGAAAGACGCCCGCTTTTGTCACGGCTGCAGCTGCCAGACAGGAAGTGGTGGTTTGTGGCTCATCAAAACCTCACCAAACAGCCTATGAGCTTCTGGTTTAGCTGCCGGGAGCATTCAGAGCTGTGTGTACCAGACCCTACTCTGAAGTTAACTACAGAAACCCAACAATTCCCACCATGAGCAAGCACTAGGCGACACACGCAAGGAAAAACTTCCTTTTAACAGGCAGAAACCTTCAGTGTCTTTAAGCTGGAGATGTCACAATAGCTCTGACTCTCTCTCATCCAGTGTCATTTTTCTCTTGTCCAGCACGGTTCTAAACACTTTGTTCCTATCTTTGTGTCAAGTTTTGTCCCGTTTCCTGCCTCTGCTCATCCCAAAAGGCTGTCCCGTTTCCATGCTTTGCTCACTGGGTTTGTGGGCCCTTGTCTGTCCCAATCTCTCATTTTTCAAACATTTAGAGAAGTTTTTGTTGTTTCTTTCCCTCCTTTACCTCCTCCCCAACCACTGTGAGAGAACGGATCCACATCGGGTTGTCTCCATCTACTGGGCAGCTGCGGACATGCTAGATTTTTTCTTTTCTTTTTTATAACGCACATTTGATTGAGTTTGTTTTTTTGTTTTATAGAACAAACAACAAATATGTCCATACGCCACAGCGTACTTTACAGTGATACTTCCAAAATGACTTCCATGATGTTCTTCCACCGATCAGGGCAGGTCCAGAGACTTTTCAGATTCAAATTGAAAGGACTCGAACTACCTAGTAGATGATTGACAGATGTAACTTTTTAGATAGTTAATAATCTGTTCTGGGAAATGGTTGATCTGATGATTTGTGGGGGAGTTTTACACACCCCAGTGAGTCCCAACCATGCCAGTTTGGAAAAACTGAACCTTTGGGTGGCCAGTCCAGTCCAGATACACCCTCTGACCATCAGTCAGTCCTTCAGAATATCCTCACAGTAGAGAAATAGTTCTACTCAATTACTTTAGTGGTGCTTCAATGGTAGAACTGCATGGA